GTGAGTATTCTCGAAAAAAACGTCGTGAGAGCGTGCGAGAGGGTGCGATCACTTTTTGTGACGTTGCCATGGTACTTCTTGGTCCACTTCTTCTAGTAGTACTAGTACTAGTACTAGTACTAGTAGCAGTGGTGGGATTCAAGAACTCTCCAAAGAAGAATGCACTGCTGCTAGTGCTGTATTACTAGATACTTCTACTTCTACTAGTATTACTTTTGCTAGGCAGTACTAGGGCCTGGTACTACTACTACTACTACTACTACTACTACTACTACTACTACTACTACTAGTAGTAGTAGAACTACTACTACTAGTAGCTACTACCAACAGGAGAATGGGGGTGCTGTTCTTGGAGTTCCACTGAAGGTTGTAGAAGTAATCCACACCAGCAAACAATTCAAGAGAAACACCAGCAGTCATTGTACTAGTCTTGGTAGTACTGCTAGCTCCTTCTGTCCTGGTTTTGTTACTAGATGATATTTCTTCATTTTACTACATGATGATGGTTTGCTTGTTAGTGTTGCTGACATCTTAGTACTTGTACTACTACTTGTCCTAGTACTATTAGTCATAGATACTCCTACTACTAGCCAGGACTAGGAACAAAAGGAATAGTAATTCTTCTAGTACCACCACTAGTAGTAGAAAGCGCCCGTGCTGGTAGGGGAGTATTAAGATAGCTATTGGAATCCAACACTATGGTTGATTGTATCTTTAGCTTCAGTAGCTTCAAATTGCTGTAATGTATAGCATCATTGTTAAAATGTATCTACTTTGCTGCATTGCTTGTTTTTAAGATGATGGAGTTTCTTCAGCTCTAGTAGTAGTGCCAGTACTAATAGTACTGTTACGTTTCTGCTTTCCGAACGCAATCATGTGATTTCTCGTCATAGCCAAAGAGAGCTGTAATATCCCATGTAAACAGTCTTGACATTCTAGTTTTGTTTCGAAACAATCATCAGACAGGGACCACGGCAGACATTTCATTCTCTTTGTCTACTTCGGAATTGGAATTTTGCGCTTTGTTGGATTTCTTTTCCGACATCAGGTAACTGGTGTGCTTTGACAATCTCTCTACAGCATTTTTTTTAACTGCATCTCTGTTGTCACACGAAGATTCGAAGGGGTCAGGTGACCGCCGCCGTTTCCCTTGGCGCACAGGACCAGCAACAGCCTCCACGCACTTCCAAAACCTGTCCGTCATGCTTTTGTTGAGCGGGAGAACTCCGTTCAATGCATTTGGTGACGCATTGAAAATGGCGTCCAACTTTCCATTATTTTTTGCAACCGAATTACTCTGGTCCCAGTACGATTTTCCACCAAAACCCTCGATGGTAACGTCGTGGGCAATCACTTCGTCTTTGGTTTTGATCTCTGCCTTTTTGCTGTAGGGCCTCTCGATGGCGAGTTGCACTAAGTAGAGTTTCTGATGGGACGTGGCGGTACTGAGAATATGGTCTGACTGTAATGCATCCCAAAGAGCAAATATTTCCTTTTGGCGATCTTCCAGCACTTTCTCTTTTACCTGGTTGTATTCCGTGGAGCGAGTACGTCCAGAAAAATAATCGTCAAGAATTTTTTCAAGGGCTGGGTCACCGTGCTCGAACAGGATGTCCTGCGACGAAGATGCCTGATCAACGATTTTTTTCAGTCCGCTATCCTTCCAGTGGATCGCAAATTGGCGACGTTTCGATTTCCTCTTGAGTACGTTGTCGCAAAATCTTTTGACCGACTTCAAGTTACTTGACGAGAGACTGGTTGTAGTTTTACTCATTCGGTAGAATTGGCGCTCGTCTTCGTTGGTGTTTGTTTTCCATCGATAACAGAGTATCATTGCATCCTTCCAATTTGCCACACTGTACTTGTGTCCATCTAATGGAAGTTTAAGATTCTTCGCTGCGTCTATGATCTCCGGATCGACGTAATCCTCTGGTGGTGTTCCTGGAGAGACTTTGGCGTGAGACGGAGATGACTCGAAAAGGTTCTTGGTGTTGTTGGAGGTTTTTGACTGAGCCACCGAATTGGATGTGTCTTTGGCAGAGGATGGTTTCAATGGTGAGGTCAATGGGTTGGAAACGTTTTTTGTGCTCTGGGAATTTTTTGCTCGAGTCGATAGGATCGATGTGCCTTTCGAGGAGGATCGTTTGAGTGGGGAGGTTGGCGGGTTGGTTGGGTTCCAGATTGGTTGGTTTTGACGGGCGTTGGTGACGGTCGTCGTCCCCGTCGTTGCCAAAGGAGGAAAGTCGCCATGGCGGTCATAGCCAGCGTAGATCGGGGGACAGTAATACGACAAAGGAACGTACTGTCGATTGCTATAACAAGGTTGTGGAACATAGAGAGGTTGAGAGACGAGAAAGCGTCTATCCATATTGCCATGTCGATAGTTTGAGCTGCCCCCGTTCGAAGGAATTGATGTTTTCTGCCTTTGGCTCGGAAACGTGTCACAGTTTCTGCCGTTCATGGTGGATCACTTTGGATAAAATGTCGTGCTTCGAATCCAGCTCTTGAATTGCAGGACTGCTTTGCGACCAAACATTATGAGGATCATCGACTCCTCAAAATGGATGCATCGAGAGTTGTTGTGGTGAACCAAGATTGACTTTTTCACAGGTCTGCTTCTCAAGTCGCAGACACGACACGCAATGCGTCACTGTACCGTAGGACCGTCAAAAACCAGATTTTTCAGAACCCGAGCGCAACGAAAAATTCAAATAGTCGCACGCGCGCTACACCCAGCTCGGTTGCTGTTTTGGCGCGAGGATTAAAAAAACATCGATGTCCAATGTGCGTTTTGTACGTACGAACGTACCGTACGTATTACGTACCGTACCGTACAACGTTGTAGCCCTGATAATTGTCGCATGCCGTATCGTACCGTATGGTGATGTTTGCTGTGTCACGTCTCACGTCAAAGAAAGTGTCTCAAAACTGGTAGGGTTTTTCGATTTTCGATTTTCGATTTTCGCCTTCTATTTTGCAAATCACTCAGGCGGTGTGACGGAACGCAATAACAACAACAGCCAAAATCACCATCACAACAAACATCCTTTATCGAGCCCTAGAATAGTTTGAAGAAAGAGCGATAGAGCCAAGCTTTTCCAATGCATTTACAGAATCTTGTTGACTTTGCTCACAATTTCTAGTCGAAGCTAAGTTCTTGGACGTGACTCCCAATCCAACAAGATGACAACACCTACTACTACACTGAAATCCATTTCTGCCGCTATTTCTAGAAGAAAACCTCTCACACCGACAACAACTCCAAAGCATGGTAGAAAACCTGTCCATCACAAGGAAAATGGTGGCTTCACCGACTGTCTTTCCCGAGGAGTGGAAGGCAACGAAGCAGATACGTCGTCCTTGAAACGGACTCTGGGTGTGACAGACGTGATTTTCTATGGAATTGGATGCTCCGTAGGAGCGGGGATATATTCCTTGGTGGGAATCGGTGCCAAGACGGCGGGACCCGCAATATCGCTGAGTTTTGCGCTGTGCGGAATTGCGTGCTGCTTTACCAGTTTGGCATACGCCGAATTCGCAGCTCGGGTCCCGCTTGCGGGGTCGGCCTACACGTTTACGTACGTGAGTTTCGGGGAACTGGCGGGGTGGTTGGTAGGGTGGAATCTTACGCTGGGATATGCGATTAGTGCCGCAGCAGTTGCCCGCTCCTGGGCCGTGTATGTCTCGGGATTTTTCCACGGGTGGTTGCAGGGCTACATCGTACGAGAATCCGTGTCGGTAGCGATTGCTACAGCAGCCGACAATTTTCTTCAGTGGTTTGTGAATCTTCCAATTTCAAACGCTTTCGGTGAGCAAGAATACCAATGCTGCCCACTTGCTGCAGTCGTTATCCTTCTTTGCACGTCGCTCTTGGTTACKGGTGCGAAAGAGTCGGCGCGATTCAATACTGTCATGACTATACTGAATATTTCGGTGCTAGGATTTGTCGTGATTGTAGGGTGGACTACTGGGAACGTGAAGATACAGGAGAATTTGTTGACTCCTTCATTTTTCCCCGAAGGGTTTGACGGCGTGGGCCGTGCGGCTGGATTGGTGTTCTTCTCGTATCTAGGATTCGATATGGTTTCTTGTTTGTCGGAGGAAGTTAGAAATCCTGAAAAGAATATGCCGATCGGGATTGTTGGTTCCCTTGTCGCTAGCACAATCATATATTGTGTTGTGTCTCTAACGGTCGTGGGAATGGTTCCGATCAAACTACTAGGAGATGACGTTCCCGTAGTCAATGCATTGTTAGCAAATGCTTGTTGTACTCATAACGAACAGCTTCAAGACATCGCTATTCATTCAGACACAGACTACGAATGCTTATCATATCCATCGTGCAAGGGTTCTTCTTTCATTTTTGCGTTGCTATTCAACGGAAGCAGATTGATTTCCTTTGCCGCAATTTTTGGATTGACTACAGCTACATTTGCCTGCTTAATGGGGCAACCGCGAATTTTTTTTTCGATGGCACAAGATGGATTACTATTCAAAATCTACGGTCGAGTCAACCCAGAAACCGGGGTACCAACCGCGGGAACCATTATCACGGGAATCACAACAGCATTTGTTGCATGCTTCGTAGACTTGGAATCACTGGCAAACACCATTTCCTTAGGAACTCTCCAGGTGTTCACCTTCGTCAATGCCGGAGTAATTGTGCTGCGAATGACTCCTTCACTTATACAAATAGAGATAGACACAAAAAATGACGATGAAGAAAGTGATGCCGGTCAAGGGTCAAACAAGAAAACTGAAGCAGATGCGGGGTGGAACTTGAGTTCTGAAAATACCGCCCAAAATGAGCGATCGTATTTGATACCGTGTAAAACCAACGGTCGGGAGCGAACAAATAACATATGCAGCTCTTCTTGCACTGCTACTTGCTGCGCTGAACGTCGATCTTCTCTTCTACCGGACGAAGGCGGAGCAGTATTGGTCAGAGAAGCATCGCGAGAATTTCGGAGCAGTCTTCGTAGCATTTCTTCTTCGATTGTCGACAACGGAGAGAGTTTTGAGAGCCAGCACCTATTGGTAGAACTGAATGGATCCAAACCGTATTGGCTGACACTTATCTTCACTGTTTCCGCTGTGTTATTCTCTGCTAGTATGTCACACTCATGGCGCATAGGAACAAGGTTGGTATTGGTGACCATTATGCTACTTTCGGTAGCTACGTTGTGGCAACTACCGCAGAGCAACTCGCCAGAGACTTTCAGTTGCCCGTGCGTTCCGGCTGTGCCATTGTTAGGCATATTTTTCAATTCTTATATGATGGGTTCAATGCCCTCATCCACATGGTCAACAATCATCCTCTGGCTTCTAGTGGGAGGTTGTTTTTACTTCTGTTACGGAATGCACCATTCTGAATTGCGGAAAAACACAAACGTACTGGGTATTTGAATCGGTCACAAAAAGTATCAAGCAACTGGGCTGAAGATGCAGTTTTACCGTACATATCATCAATTCTACTGGAATTCATAAAATACAAGTGCACTCTATCAGGTCATTCTTCTTAGCTACACATTCGTGCCTTGTCAATATTCGCAGGCTGACGCCAATTTAGTAAATTAAAGATATAGTTTCGCCATATCCTTAATAACATCATCACATGTTCTATCGATATCGAGAAACGAAAAATCTCAGATTTCTTTAAACGTTAAACTACCCTTTGCCTTGCAATTGTATCGCTCGCGATACCTTTCACTATGTGCATAAATTTTCTAGGGGAAATCACGATACAGAATGACTCAAACAGTTCATCATTGTGAATATGAACGGAATAGGAAGAGTAAGCGTTCATGCATTTCTCTCTTCATCCGGGAGAGAAGGTGCATTTGTTGTTGTCGCACTAGATATCAATCCTGTTTCCACCCCCGTTGCAGGACTATTCATCGGAGTTACAGAATTTGGAATTGCCTGAGTCATTGGATTTGGAACAGTGAGATTGGCACCCTCTATACTTGCTAAAGATTCGTCGGCTACTGGCAGTTGCGACGGTGTTGGCGAGGACAATTCTTGCGCACACGTAGATTCTTTTTTGAGTTGTCTACCCGAATTCGTCGCTGATTCCGAGTCTAATTTAGATGGTGATTCAGAAGTTGATTGGCCAAAAGCAAACTTAAATTTTTTCCTCTGTCTCTTGGATTGTTTCATATATTCTCGTTTCGCCAGAGCGAGACGCTTCAGAACTAAAGAGTCTGGTGTATTATCCTTTGACTTTGAAATCTCACTAGTGCTCTTGATGCTCTCTTCCAACGAAGCAATAGAGTCATGATAGTCGCCCAACTCGTACTGTGCCGAACCCAAGCGAAAGCACGCCTTTGCTTTCAAGGCGAGAGCTTCGTCCAAGGACTCTTGATTTTCGTTACGTTGAGGGTCGCAAAAAGGAGATACTTCTTCAAGAGCCAATTTAGCTTGCTTTCGCGCTACCTGTAATTCCATGAAATGCTCATTGAGCAAAACTAGCGCAATGTTCAATCGAGTCATTACCAGATTTTTCAATAGACTGTCGAAGCGAAGAATACCTCTCCTTCGGCTTTTCATAAAAGCGACAAAGCCATACTGTATTGCTTTGTCGTATCGGTATGCTGCTAATCCAAGCTTTCCAGCCTTGAATGCAGCGTTGCCGCCATCCTTCAGGGTTTTTACGGTCTCCGCTAATATCCTGTTTGAATTTCGTGTAAAATCGTTGCTTGCGTCTGAATTTTCGTCATCTTTCGTTCCCTCTTCATCGTCATCATCCCTTTCGTCCAAAAGCTCATCTTTTCCTTCACTACTTTCTTCCTCTTTTATGGATCTAGTTTTCATATTATTGCCCTCATCGCGTTGAGTTGTTTCATTGTTATAGTCGCCGACTTCGTCGCTATCACCACTAGTAGTGTCATCACCACCTTCGTTAGAAAAAAATCCTGTCTCATCCAGAGCGTAGTATCTGTCTCTGTAAAAGTCATTATAAAAGTTATACTTGCCACAGAAATTATCCCGAAAGTGAAATGGATCGTTGCTCATTTCGGCGTCGTATGGAATCCAATCGGACGGATATTCAGGTACTAATTCTGAACGGTCGACGTTACGATCCTCAGCAGAGCCATCCATTATTTTTTCTGTTCTATCAACCGTTGGGTGGCCCTCCATCAACCAAGGAAGGTTCGGATTCCAGGTAAGACCCAAGCTATCTGCCTGGTGACGGAGTCGAATCAAACTAACCCTCCGCTTAAAATCTTCGGTATCGCTTTCAACTGGCACGTCATTGTCCTCGAAGAGCGACCGAATCACGGCGGATGAATTGGCTTTCAAGGCGTCAGGAAGATTGTGTAAATCGTTGCCAATTTTTGGAATTCCTTGGCGACCGGTTGGATTGCGGCTCGACGCTCTTGAATAAAGTGGTATCACCCGAACTAGACGTACGAAGTTTTCGCAAGGGATTTGATCCGCGAATATTTCGGAATCTGTATTATCCCGCGAATTCAGATCCTCAAGGATTTCTCGAACTCGTTCACAGCTCCTAACCGTTGGTGTCATCTTATACGATCGTTCTTGGGTCATTCGGAAATGCTTTCGGCGACCAACTGCTCCATCGTCTACCTCCGAGTCAACCGGTGTGGTCGATCTCCACAATTTCGCAGTTGAATCTATTCCATAGCTTACAAAAATCGGCAGCGTTGGGTGAGGAACAACTCCATTGCATGTAGACTCATCTGCCTTCCAAAACGATACCACAGCACCCGTAGCTTTCTCGTAAACCCAAGCATGACCTGAATCGGATCCAGTGCAGATGTACTCGTCTCTAGGCCCCGCGTATCTGGCATTCTTTAGGAACGTATATCGATTCAGGTGTGCGCCATAAGAAGCCAACTCCGGGAGAATGCGCTTGCCTTGACCCCAAGGATAAAGCTTGTCTTCCTCGATAGTCTCGTTCTCGCTGTGCAGTGTCTCACTGTTCAATAATTCTGTCAGCTGATCAGTAGCCGAACGCCGAGGAGATTCACTATACGGAAAGATGGGAAACGTGTAAATTTGGTCACTTTCATAAGAAACCAATAGCTCTTTGCCATCGCGGCATAAATCCAACCCACTGACCGAAACCGGATTTTCTTCCGACAACGACATCGGTTTGTAGTACTGAAGAACGCGGCTGCCACTTGACCTTTGCTGAGCCGGTGTGGCTGTCATTCGCAGATCGCAAAGTGCCACGGAAGGTGAAGACCCGCCAGCTGCACAGAACATGATCGAAAAGTAGGGGTTAGCATCGGGCTAAAGATGACAAGCACCACGGTAAATCTCAACTCAACACGTACCAAAAACATAGGTAGAAGTTTCGCCAAATAAGTTCCCGCTATCCCCACCGGAACTGGTGGGAAGAACAGCGCACGCCTTGCAAGCTCGGACGGTCCGGAGTATAGACCGAGACGAACGCGCCGTCACCGGCAACAGACTGTTGGTGCACTGTTCTCTCGGTGACAGGCGCAAGTCGAATCGCAACAGCCCTTTTTCGCTGCATAGCAAACCGATGTTGTTGCCGTCTAGCATCACGTGGGAAAAGCACATGCCGCTGCTATTTCTCAAATAATAAGCCAGCGGGTTCTCGGAATCGATGGCACCGGCTCCACCTGTATTGCGGTCGTACATGGGGTGGATCACGACCGTGCTGAGGTCCCTGCTGTTGTTACTTGCAGACGGACCGGATCGCTCCACGTCAACGAGTCGCAGGAATCCATCCGCAGCGCACGTTGCAAACACACCCGGTCGTCCCCTCAGTKGGGTGACGTGAAAGACGTTGCCCCTGTGTCCGGTCGAAACGGTCGTCAGCAGCCGGACGGTTCCCGGTGCACGGTAATCATTCCCACAAGCGTCACCCTCTTCGCCACATGTTCTTCGAGCATCGTACATGGATTGCCACCGTTCCTTGCACTTATAGAAATTTTTCTCCACGTTGTACGACGACGAAAAAGGGGTCAGCGTCGCGGTTCCACCCGCGAGTGGACTCGAGGTTCCCATGGGTTCGGAAACGTCCCATACCTTGAGGAGGTGATCGTCCCCACTCGTCACAATTTGGTGGGACAGCTCTTCCGTTTCGATGCCGCGGACTCCTGCGCCGCCCTCATCGGTCACCGTTGACAACCTCCATCCACATTCCGACGTCAGCCACGCAGCTGTATTGATACATCCGCTGTGGCGCATGCTAGGGCGGTAGTGGCATTTGTTCCTTCTCTCCAGAACGGGTTCCTCGTCGCTAGACAAATCTTCCTCGTCGTTGATATTGCCGTAGTTGTTCCGCAAAAACTCGTAGAATCCTTCTGAACCGCTGTCATCGTCATGCTCGTTATCATCCTCGTTGTCGTCATCGGGATCTCTCTCGGTGTCATCGTCTTCCTCGCCCATTCGTTCTTCGTCTTCCATGGCTTCCACTTCACTGCTGTCTATTTCGTCCTCTCCCTCTTCTTCGCCATCATGTTCGCCGTTGCCTTCAATGGAATTAGAGGACAACGAATCTGATTCCTCGTTTTCTTCCTCCCCGTTTCTCGCCGTTCCCGACTGGGCTTTTACTCGCGTTGTTCGAACCGTCGAGGCGGGTGTCCCCGGCCCCACAACGAGTATTGTGTTTTGCATTCTCGTCGGATTCCAGGCTCCCCGGTACGAAAGATATGGCGTCGAGGCTACGTGGTGGGGATTAAGATCTGACAGTGGTCCGTATCCCCGGATCTTTCGCTGCTGGGAGAGTCCGTGGGTTTGTCGAAGCTGGAGCAACTCGGGAAGAGTCGTCCTCCGTTGGCGCCGCGATAGCTGAGGCCTCCATGATTCAACAACGCCATCACTAGAGCAACTATAAATGCTTTTGCTGCCCACGCTCGACATGCTGGACATCGGAGAACGATTCTTTCGTTATGTGGCCGTTTAAAAGAAAAAATCTCTGAAAACCGATCTTTGGTAGGTGTGCGAACTCGTTGATTTCTAGAAGAGAGCTCTTGATGAGATGGTAGTAAAACTATGGTGGTAGTGCAGTTATTGGGCCGACCTATATTTTACTGTCAATTATCAATCCTCCGGCCGTTTAGTTAGTCTCGCTTAACGGTGCATCGAGAGCTATTACTCGCACAAGAACAATACTCAATAATATCCTACGATTTCGTACTGTGGTTCGGAACGATGCTCTCGTACTTTTGAAGGCACCTTGGTACTAGGCCGTGACGCTTTTTGTTCTTTCGTTTTTCTTTTGTTTTTTCCATTGAACCATTCATACGTACTCGCTCCGTTCAATACAGTACAGACAGGACAGATTACGTATGGAATAAAAAAAGCCTTGTCAATCTAATTTCCTCGCTGTACGGTATTTTCACGTTCCAATCATAACAGAGAAAACATGTTCGCCTTATTTTTTACAATTTACAAATTGAATGGGTGTCAAAAAAAAGAACTGTAAAAAAATAATACTTGGTTACAAACACACATGTAAGTTTCATAAATTGACAGTTTGACAAAATACCAGCTAATACCAGTAGTAGTAGTAGTAGTAGTAGTAGTAGTAGTAGTAGTAGTAGTAGTAGTAGTAGTAGTAGTAGTAGTAGTAGTAGTAGTAGTAGTAGTAGTAG